ACTTACACCTGTAATCCCATCACTTTGGGAGGCCAAGACAGGTGGATCACTTGAATCCAGGCATTCGAGACCAGCCTTGGCAATGTGGTGAAACCCCATCTCCACCTAACAAACAAACAAACAAACCCCTTCAAATTGTGGTAATGTGCACCTGTAGTCTCAGCTACTCAGGAGGCTGAGGTGGGAGGATTGCTTGAGCCCAGGTGGCGGAGGTTGCAATGAGTTGAGATCACACCACTGCATGCACTCCAGCTGGGCAACAGAACAAGACCCTGTCTAAAAAGAAAAATGAGAAGTTCAATCAAAAAATGGGCAAAAGACCTGAACAGACACCTCACCAAAGAAGACATACAGATGGCAAATAAGCATATGAAAAGATATTCAACATCATTTGTTGTTAGGGAATTGCAAATAAAAATGACAAAACATACAACTACATGCCTATTACAAGGGCCAAAATCCAAACACAACACCAAATGCTGATGAGGGACTGGAAAAACAAGAACTCTCATTCTTTGCTGCTGAAAATGCAAAATGATACAGACACTTTGGAAGACACTTTGGCAGTTTCTTACAAAACTAACATACATCATTATCCAGCAATTACACTACTTGGTATTTACCCAAATGAGTTGAAAACATATCCACACAGAAACCTACACAGGATTTCATACCTGCTTTATACATAATTGTCAAAACTTGGAAGCAACCAAGTTGTCCTCCAGTAGGGGAATGGATAAACACACTGTGGTATATCTGCACGGTGGAATATTATTCAGTACTAAATGGAAATGAGCTGTCTAGCCATGACAAGACATGGAGGAAACTTAAATGCAGATTATGAAGTGAAATAATCCATCTGAAATGGCTACATACTATACGATTCCAACTCTATGACATTTGGAAAAGGCAAAATCATGGAGATTGGTGATTGCCAGGGGCTGGAGGGAGGAGAGAATCAACAGGCGGAACATGGAGGGTTTTTAGGGTACTGAAACTATTCTGTATGATGTAATAGTGGATCGATGTAATAGTGGATCCTTGTCATGATCTGTTTGTCCAAACCCATAGAGTATACAACACCAAGAAAGAACTCCAATGTAAACTGTGGATATTGGGTGATAATGATGTGCCAATGAAGGTTCATTGATTGTAACAAAGGTCCTCCTCTGGTGGGGGACATCCATAGTGGGGGATAGTGCATATCTGGGGACAGGGAGCGTGTGGGAGCTGTCCTTGCTGCCCAATTTTGCTGTGAACCTAAATCTGCTCTAACAATTCAAGTTCATTCATTTAAAAAGAATCCCTGAACTATTTTATTTTATTTATTTTTAAAAATTTATTTATCATACTGTAAGTGCTGGGGTACGTGTGCAGATCGTGCAGGTTTGTTACACATGTATACACGTGCCATGGTAATGGTTTGCTGCGTCCATCACTGGTCATTAGAGAAATGCAAATCAAAACCACATTGAGACACCACGTCACGCCAGTTAGAATGGTGATCATTAGAAAATCAGGAGACAACAGATGCTGGTGAGGATGTGGAGAAATAGGAATGCTTTTATACTGTTGGCGAGAGTGTAAATTAATTCAACCATTGTGGAAGACAGTGTGGCAATTCTTCAAGGATCTAGAAATAGAAATACCATTTGACCTAGCAAGCCCATTACTGGGTATATACCCAGAGGAGTGCAGATCATTCTATTGTAAAGACACATGCACACGTATGTTTACCATAGCACTCTTCACAATAGCCAAGATTTGGAACCAACCCCTGAACTATTTTAACAGGGATATTTGAATACTGACTACCAACCAGATATTTGATGATATTAAGAAATTGTTGGGTGGATGTGGTAGCTCACGCCTGTAATCCCAGCACTATGGGATACCAAGGCAGTTGAATCACCTGAGGTCAGGAATTTGAGACCAGCCTGGCCAACAGGGTGATACCCTGTCTCTATTAAAAATAACAAAAATTAGCCAGGCATGGTGGTGCACGCCTGTAGCCTCACCTATTTGGGGAGCTGAGGCAGGAGAATCGCTTGAACCCGGGAGGTGGAGGTTACAGTGAGCCAAGATTGTGCCATTGCACTTGAGCCTGGGCAACAGAGTGAACTCCATCTCAAAAAAAAAAACAAAAAAAAAGAAAGAAAGAGAAAAGAGGGGAGCAAGACTCCATCTCAAAAAAAAAAATTGTGGTTTCTTTTTTTCGTTATTGTTGTTTTGATTTTTTTTGGTATGATACTGGTATTGTGGTTATGTTTTTAAAAAGTCTTTATGTTTTTAGCTGGGTGTGGTGGCTCAGGACTGTAATTCCTAATTACTTGAGGCCAGGAGCTTGAGACCAGCCTGTGCAACATGGTGAGTCCTTGTCTCTAAAAAAATAAAAAGTAAGTCTTTATATTTTAGAGTTATATATATGAATGAAATGCTGTGAGGTTTTGGATTTGTTTCAAAATAATCCAGTGTGTGTGTGCTGGGGGGAAGCAGATAAAACATGGTCGGTGGTAGGATGACGATCGTTGAAGCTAGCTGATGAGCACACCAGGGCTTGATTATGCTATTACTCCAAGTTTTGTACACGTTTGGACGTTTCCATAATACAAAGTAAAAACATAATTACGTGCTTCAAGTCTCAATCCCTAGGTCTCTTACACTCTGGGAGTGGATTTAATAAATTTAGCAAAGCCTCCTTGAGGTTAATAATGGATTAATACATTGCCACAGCTAGAGAACATTTACACTTTGACACGGATCTTCAATATCTTAACCTAAAGGAACAACTATTGTGGAGATTTCAGACATTACCCCAATCTGACAGGGGAAGTATTTTGTATTAGTTCTAACTTTCCCCTTCCCTAATTTACCTATGTATAGAATTTGTCCTTGTCCCTGACTGTGGGGAGACTTTGGATAATTATCACCTTTTCTCTTCCTTTTTTTATTTTTTTGAGACAGGGTCTCACTCTGTCATCCAGGCTGGAGTGCAGTGGCGCCATCTCAGCTCACTGCAACTTCTGCTTCCCGGGTTCAAGCAATTCTCCTGCTTCAGCCTCGGGAGTAGCTGGAATTACGGGTGCCTGCCACCTCATCAGTGAATTTTTGTATTTTTAGTAGAGATGGGGTTTCACCCTGTTGGCCAGGCTGGTCTCGAACTCCTGACCTCGGCCTCCCAAAGTGCTAGGATTATGGGCGTGAGCTACCTCACCTGGCCAATGATTCCCTTTTCTAAGAATGCTTTATAGCATCATGGCATTTCGAATCGTGTAACCTTCAAAACGTTTTCTGATGCATCCATTCCTAGGTCTTCATTACTTTTCTGGGACTGGACAGGGCCGATTGAATCCATCCTGTAAAGCATGGGAATAAATAAAGATTCCAAAACATTAATTGGATTTAGTTAGTTAATTTTTGTTTCTCCATCTCTCCATACAGACAGGGAGTATGCCTGGACATCTAGTATGGATTCGATGTGTACTGGGTTGATACTATATAGAAATTTATAAAATGATGCCTGACTTTGAGGGGTTCACACTCTAGGGGGAAGGCTGTGCTGTCTAAGTGAATACATGTGAGAGGCTGAGAGCTTCATGGAGGGGAGGAAACCTGTGCTGAGCCATGCAAATAAGCGGGAGCTCATCACCCACCGATTTATGTCAGAATCAGAACTCAAAGCCAGGGACCCACCAACCGTCTGGCCCAGCACAGTTTCTGTGTGGCAATTCCATTTCTCTTTTCTCATCTTACATCGCAGTTTACTTGGTTTCCTGTAACTCCTGCAGGATTTTTCTGAAAGCTGTTATCACGCTGCACAAAGTGAAGCCGACCTCTTTGTGTGTGGGAATAGAGGGAGCGTCACACTGCTGGGATGCCATGGACGGAGGGCGGAATGCCGTCCAGCGCCTGGTCTCTCCCAAGATATATAGCTCAGGGGCCTTCCCATTCCTTCACGACACAAATAACAGCTTCCTTGAGCACTGATGGTTGCCAGGCGGCTGACGGTGTGGAGAACCTCGCTCATGTTTACCTGTTCGAGCATCCATTACTCACCTCTTCCCACACGCCCCCGCACTTGCACACAAAGCCACAGAGTGGCTTAAAAAAAAAAAAAAAAGAAAAGCCTCCCCCCAACCCTATTCTAAAATGTCAAGTGTTTCAGTTTTGAGAAAAAAGCAGGCTGAAGAAACCATGACTCATGACATGGGCTGACAAACAACCATCTGAAGGTATGCTGGTGAGTCACCGGAGCTCTGCCTTTGTGTTGTGGCGAGGGCCGGGGCTGGAAGGAGCGTCATGGGACCAGCCAGTAAAATTCCACTACTCTCCGAGGCCGATTGGGAGGCAATTGAAAAACCTGGGCTTTTTCCAGCCCCAGTGTTGTGGATGACTCTGGGTCCCCTCAGGTATCTCGGTCTGTGAGGGAAATCAGGAAGAATGATTATTAATAACTGGAAAGAAAACCCCTCTTGTTATCTTTGCATGCCCAATGCCATGCTGAACCAGCCCTGCCTGCTTCTGCAAGCCAGCGAGGCTGCTGGATTTTCTGGAAGGGTATTGTGTTGCTAAGCAACAGCGCTGGCAGCACCCATCATGCCCAGCAATGTCAGCGCCTGAGTGTGGCCTGCGGAGTACACTTGCTCCCCTCCCCCTCGCCTCTCTCGACCTCCTCCCCCCCCATGAGAACATTCATTTGCATCTCAGGGACAGGAGCTGTGCCAGGTGATTCTGTGTATAAAACAGCGCAGTGCAGCCCCTGAAGCGCAGATATTGTTTGGGGTTGCAAGGCAGTGCCTGTGATGCGGCTGAAAACACAGACTAATTTGTGTTCACTCCCCGCATAAGGGGAAGCCGGTACATCAAATATTCCTAATACGTCCCGGTGTGCTCTGCCTTTAAGTGTTTTCTTCCTGTCTGCCCGCCCAGCATCTTATTTATGTCCCATTTTGTCCCTCTCTCTCCTTCCCTTTGTTCTGTGGTCTCCCGGGTGACGGAGTTAGTGTTCGTGTGTAGGGATGTGTGGAGAAGAGGGAGGCGATTTTTAGAGGCGAGAGGGCCCTGTGGCTAAGGGTTGGAGGCCGCTGTTGACAAGGCCTGTGGCTGTGGCAGTTTTGCTCCGGAAGTGGCCATTCTTCTGGGTAGGACTCCACCAGAGCACCTTTCACTTCCCTTTCACTTCCTGTCAAGAGGCAGCGGGCTTCCAGAATTGGGGAAGTCCCAGGGGCAGCCTTTGGGTTTGACAGACCTGGACCCAAACCCTTTCTCTTCCCCCAACCCGCTTTGGCATCTTGGCAAGTGACTGTCTCCATTTCTGAACAGGATGTTCGCAGTAAGCGTCTGGCTGGGTGGCTGGGATGGCCGAGTGTGGTCATGCATCTCTATGGGGGGCCATGGTGCTTATTCAATGGCAGATATTACCAGGATGGAGTGAGTCCCAGTAGGAAGGGCCTTTAAGATGTAATCTGGTTCCTCCCAGCAGGGACAGGAACTGTCATTCCTCCCTCTCCCTGCGGAGAATCAGCGCGGGCTCCGGGCGGGTGGTGGAAGGCTGCTCAGAGGTGAGCCTCCAGGGTAGGGCTGGGTCTCAGCCTGCCAGTGTTGGGACTACAGGCGTGAGCCCCTCATCTAGTCTAGACTGAGCTCCTAAACAGGAAATGTGCGGCATGCCTTCTGTGAAGGTGACTTTCTTATTCTGAGTTTTAAACCACAACCACTGAAGATGGTTATTGCCTGTGGAACGCATTCCATTGCCTCTCAGAGAAACCATTCCTACTTAAGGAAAGCTGGGGCCATTCCTGGTCTGGCGTTCCCAGTGAAGGAAGATCCAAGCGGATGCCCCTCAACCCCAGCCTGAGGCAGCCGTGTCCTTATGGTCCAGCTGGGGACCCCACTCTCTAGGAGGCAGAGAGGGGAACAGGGGGATTGGTCTAGGTTTGTGTGGGTCAGAGCCATGTGAGAATAGTTATAGTAGTTGCTGGGCAAAGTCAGTGGGAAGGAGACAGAAAGGCCAAGGCATGCAGGAGACCCCAGCTACAAGGAAAGGGAGAGGGTCACCTTGGTGGACAAGAAGAGGGAAATGAGGAGGGGCTCTTGGAGATCCTGCCAAGGAGGCGTTCTGTGAACCCCTCCTGCTGAGACACCCGCTGAAGGGTCCACTGAGACACCAAAGCAGGAAGCGTGGACAGGATGCACGCTGGCATGCACTAGAGGTGATGTGGAGTCTGGGATTAGTGACAAACGACTCACGTCTAGAACCGTGGTCAAGGACATGAGCCAGATTTTCTGGGGCTCGGTCCTGGCTCTGTCACTTAACTGTGTCACTTGGAGCAAGTCACATACCTCTTGCAGTCTCAGTGGGTCATCAGAAAAATGGGGATTATATATATAATATATATATAATTATATACTTATTTATAACCTATGTGTATATATAATTATATATGTTTATAATAATCACAAATGGGGGTTATACATTAATTTACAATATTTATTTATTTATTTTGAGACAGAGTCTCGCTCTGTTGCCCAGGCTGGAGTGCAGTGGTGTGATTCAGCTCACTGCAACCTCTGCCTCCTGGGTTCAAGCAATTCTTCTGCCTCAGCCTCCTGAGTAGCTGGGATGACAGGCATGCACCACCACCCCCAGGTAATTTTCTGTATTTTTTTTTTCTAGTAGAGACAGGGTTTCACCATATTGGCCAGGCTGGTCTCGAACTCCTGGCCTCGTGATCTGCCTGCCTCAGCCTCCCAAAGTGCTGGGATTACAGGCGTGAGCCCCAGCACCCAGCCTGTATTTATTTATAATATATGTATGTGTGCATCTATCTCCATCTTCAGGGTCGTTTGGAGAATTAAATGAGCTAACCCATGTAAAGCTCTGGGTACTGTGCCTGGCATGTAGGATACTTCCTAACTGTCACCTCTTCTTGTTGTTACAACCTGAGCATCTCTCTGTTCACCAGCCCTTGTTCCTTAGCCACAGGTAGGAGACGACAGTAGCTCCTAAGGAAGCTCAGTTCTATCCTCAAATGTGAAAGCCTTTTTACTTAACCACAAAGAAGTGGTCAGCAGAAAACTCGTCATTCCGGATGCTGGGGCCACGCACAGCCCTCAGGAGGAGCTACTGTTTTCCCTGCCTGTTAACATGTGGCCTGGGGCCTTGTGGGCTATTTGAAAATTAGGGCACAAGAAGTCCAAGCAGCACCTGGTGATCAAACGGGTTCCTCTATCAGAGAGAGGTGTGACCTTGAAGGGCATCCATCCAGGAGCCAGGGGCAAAGCAGAAGGTGGGAGAGACTCTCCAGGATCGACCCTCTCAGCACATCTCCGCCAGGGGTGTCTGACAGCCTGGATTCCAGCCCTGCCCAAAGCAACCCAGAGACCCGATGGAGGTGGACAGCTGTTCAGCTGGGTGATGGGAGGCTCCAGAAATCGTTGTCAACCTTATTGAACTGGAGATGGGCTCTTAGGACAGACGGGGTGCTGATTTCCAGCCAGGCAGGGCATGGGTTCTCCAGTGGGACCTGGACAGGGCTCACTGCAGCCTGACGAACTAGGGAAGAGACACCACCCCAACCGTGCTCCCCCAAGCCTTGGTGTTCAGTGAAAGTATCTTCTCTTTTCCTCTCTGCTCTCTCCCCTTTACAACACATATTGTCTTTAGTCTGTAAAACCAGGGCCAGGAAGAATCTTTACAGTTAGATGGGGCCATGAAAAGATGATGAGGCATATCAGGAACTATGTAACCTCGTAAGACTTGTGCTGCAAAACCTCCTGACATGCTGAATGAAGAGTCACATGCAGCCTCTTCAGTGCAAAACTGAGCTCATAAGAAAGTCAAGCAAATCTCTAGGGGCCAAATGAAGAGGGAACTGGGAGTCAGAGCTTCAAGTACGTGACTAATATGGTGTATCCCTTAGGTTTGAAAGTTCATGCAGGACATTTGTGTGGCTCTCAGTTTTTGGATATTGGTGAATAGTGCTGCTTAGAACATTCTGGTATGTGAGTTTTTGTTGAACATAAGATATTTATGTTGGACAAATATTGAAGAGAAAAATTATGTACAAACTCAGATTTGGAGAATACTGCTGAACAGTTTTTCAAAGTGGTTGTTCATTTTAAATAACTAGAATTATTTAGCATATGGGCCAGACACTGTGGCTTACACCTGTAATTCCAACACTTTGGGAAGCCAACGTAGGAGGATCGCTTGAGGCCAGGAGTTTGAGACCATCCTGGGTAATATAGTGAAACCCCACCTCTACAAAAAATTAAAATGTTAGCTGGGTTTGGTGGTGTGCACCTGTACTTCCAGCTACGTGGAAAGCTGAGATAGGAGGATCACTTGAGTCCAGGAGATGGAGTCTGCAGTGAGCTGCGATTGTGCCAATGCACTCCAGCCTAGGCAACAAAGCGAGACCCTGCCTCAAAAAAAAAAAAAAAAAAATTTCAACTGCAATGACAACAGTGTAGGAGCATTCTAATTACCCTGCATCCTCCCCAGCAATTTGTGTTGTTTTTTCCTCAGGCTTATTTTAATCCCTCTGGTTGGATTTGCATTTCCAGGATGATGAATGAGAGTGTACTTTCTCCTACGTCTTGTGGGAATTTGACACATGCTCTTATAAGGTGTCTGTTCAAGTATTTTGCTCATTTTTTTCTAGTGGGTCATCTGTATATTTCTTACCGATTTATATTTCTTTATATACTTGAAATTCTTGTGACCATAAATATATTGCAAATATCTTCTCCCATTCTTTAGCTTGCCTTTTCACTCTTTTTTTTTTTTTTTTAAATTATTCTTCTTTGAGACAGTCTCACTCTGTTGCTCAGGCTGGAGTGCAATGGTGAGATCTCGACTCACTGCAACCTCTGCCTCCTGGGTTCAAGTGATTCTTCTGCCTCAGCCTCCCAAGTAGCTGGGATGCTCACCACCATGCCTAGTTAACTTTTTTGTATTTTTAGTAGAGGTGCGGTATCACTATGTTGGCCAGGCTGGTCTCAAACTCCCGACCTCAGGTGATCCACCTGCCTTGGCCTCCCAAAGTGCTGGCATAACAGGCATGAGCCACCATGCCCGGCCTCACTCTCTTAATGATGCTTTTGATAAGCAGGTGTCCTTGATTTTATTATAGGTCAATTCTCTTATTTTTTTTTAAAGTTATCTCTTTGTGTGACTTATTTAAGAAATATTTGCTTAGTCCAAAATCATATAGGTTCCTATGATTTCTTTTAGAAGCTTTCTTTTTATATTTTTCAAATTTAGAACTACAATCCATCTTGAATTCTTGTTTTGTATGTATAGTTTTAAAAAATATATAGAGACCGATATTAATTTTTTTACATCTAGATAGCCAATGGACCCAGCACTATTTATTCAAAATAATATTGTCTCTCTTATTGTGTTGCATTGCCATCTTGCTGTAAATCAAGTGACCATGTATCTATAGGTCAGTGTCTGGATTCTGAATTCTGTTCCATTGTTCTATTTGTTTATCCTTGTGACATTATCTTACTATATACCATTATTTCATTTTATAATGAGTCTTGATATCAAATAGGGAAAGTCTTCCAACTTTGATCTTCTTCAACATTGTCTTAGTTCTTTTTGGCCATTTACATTTCCCTATAAAATTTAGAATCAGCTTGTCAATTTCCAGGAAAGCTCACAATAAACCTGCTGGGATTTTTATTAGAATTACACTGAAATTCTAGATATGCCAGATTGTAAAGAGTGTATGGCTTTATAATGTTGAATCTTCTAATATTGAATGATAGAGCTCTTATACAACTTCCATTATGTTAATACCTAGGTTTGTGATTTTTTGGATGCTACTATATATTAGTCTGTTCAGGCTGCCATAACAAAATAACATAGACTGGGTAGCTTAAATAACAGAAATTTATTTCTCACAGTTCTGGAGGTTGGGAAGTTCAAAATCAAGGTACCAGCCAATTTGGTTCCTAGTGAGCATTCTTCCTGGTGTAGAAGAGGGTTCTTTTTTTAGGTGGCCACCATCTTGCTATGTGTTCACATGATCTCTTCTTTGTGGGTATGAAAGGAGAGTTATCAAGTGAGCAAGATCCCCAGTGTCTCTTCTTATAAGGGCACTAATCCCATCATGAAAGGCCCACCTTCATGGCCTCATGTAACCTTAATTACTTCCCTAAAGACCCATTTTCAAATATAATATGTTGGGGGTTATGGCTTCAACATATTAATTTTGGAGGGACATAAACATTCAGTACATAACATACTGTAAATTCTTCATGTAGGTTCAAGGTTCAAATGCATATTATCCATTTGGCCTGGGAATTCTTAAGACAAAA